TAACTGTTAAAGGGAATAATGAACAGCAAAACCATTTTACAAGGTACTAAAGAAAAGCTACTCAAAGTCATGAACATCTTTTTCCTTATACAGTATGTAAGAATATGTAGAAAACATGGCAAAGGTCAAATGGGACCGTGTAGGACAAAGTTACACAAATATATATGTATAAACCAAAAAAACATGTTGTTCTCGAGTTAATTCCAACTCATAGTAACCCCATAGGACAGAGTAGAACCGCCCCATAGGGTTTCCAAGGAGTGACTGGTGGTTTCAAACTGCCTACCTTTTGGTTAACAGCCGAACTCTTAACTAGTATGCCACCAAGTTTTCCAGAATAGATCTTAGTGATTATTAATTTTAAACAATTTCAATTTATGAATGAGACCAGGGATGAAAGACTTGACAAAGGTCACATATTTTGTTAATGGCAGATTCTAGTTCTGAGCTTCATAGTTTCTCAGCTCAGTTTTAAACTTCATAGTTCCTTAGCACAAAATGAATTAGAGAAAGAAAAATTATCTGAAGAATCTGAGTAGTAAACTAGTGATTCTGGATCATTCAGGAAAAAAAAAAATCTATTTCAAAATTCAGGGAATGGATGATTTCCCCCTTTATGGTTCCCTTTTGATCATCACAGTCTAAGATTAATTTTTTAATTGATTTCCTTTTGAAATTATTGAGTGTTGCTGGTAAATAACTGGAAAATACTGCTTTTTGCAGCTGGATGAAGAAGCCTCGATGTGGTGTACCTGACCAGACAAGAGGTAACTCCAAATTTAATATTCGTCGAAAGCGATATGCATTAACAGGACAGAAGTGGCAGCACAAACACATCACTTACAGGTATAACAATTGATGATGAATTTTCCTTTTTTCCCATTTTTACACTAATTTTTTTTTTTTTTTTTTTTTTTTTTTACTTTTTTTGGCTATCTTCTGCACACTGACTACATGTTAATGTATAGTGACATAATGTTGACTTAAGGTACTTAAAACTCTGCAATTGAGAAGAGAATAAATTCTTTATTTACAGGATTTGTAAAAATTCTTTGAGACACTTCGTCTTTTTTGTAAACCAGATCTTCCAGCTTAGGGAATGAATGCCAAAACTGTGAGGGACTTTGAGATGAGCTATATATATAATCTAACACATTACATTCTTTGGCAAGTATTTTATTCTAAAAGTAATCATATGATAAAGTTCAGTTAAATAATTTCCATTTAAAGAAAATGTCTTGGAATCTATTAGTTGACTTGTAGTCTCAGTCTACCGATTTTACTTTTTATCTTTTTGGCAGTGATGGAAGTGGGCCATCCTATCTTGTTTTGTCTTCAAGTGAAGGATACCTAAGGGATTTGAGTGTCTTTCAAGCTTGTGTGACAATTGCTGTTCGTGGAAGTGTTCATATTTATTCATTGAACTACTGCTTATTGAATCCCAGTATGAGCAAAGAACAGTGCTAGCCACTGGGGATATAGCAATAAATAAAACATGGGAACCCTTCTGTCCTCATGGAATTTATAGTTGCGTGGAGAAGTTGAACAACTGTAAACGTGATGCCATTTATGAGAGGGAAAGAAGAGGACACAATAGTAATGTAAACCAGGGACACCAAACCACTCTATAGAAAACCAGGGAAGGTCTTCCCAAAGAACTGACCTTTCATCTCAGACCCAGAGGGTGAGAAAGAACTGATTAGACCAGCGGAAGGGGAAGAGGGAGGTTACTCTGGGGAAAGAGTAGGATGTTGGGAACCATCTCTGTCAAATCACATGAATAGAATGTATACTTTTATAATTCTTATTCTTTGTGTAAGTAGCCATTTACATGTGCTTAAAGATAAAATGAAAAATTTAATATAGTCAGGTTTCCCATCTATATAGTCTGCTGTGTGCCATTTGAACTTATTTTGGTTATTTCGAGAGCACTTTTCAGTCTCATTTTACATTATTATGCTATCCTCCCAGACAGCATGCACCTAAATTGTCATATACATACTTGCTGCAATTATTTCTACAGATAAGAAAAATAAAAGAGAAGACAGCTTTATGCCGAGTTGGTATTCGTCATCGTTTAAGTTTGATGATCAGATTTTTTACTTTACAAACTTGCTTATCATCTATACAATTTAGACTTCCAAAAAACAATTAAGAATCTATTATACTAATAAATTAATATGGGATAGAGTTTATACTTCCCAATAAATGGAATATTTATGTCCCTTTTCTAACATGCCCTCTTTCCCCAAGTGAATTAGTCATCAGTTAATGCTCAATGAGTTGAGAAGTTGCATAGACCTTGAAAAGCATTTGTAGACTTTGATAAAAAATGATGGAAAAGAATTCCTTTTCTGGCCATAGGGCAGAATAGACACTCTGATCTACTCTCCTGATTGAGGTAAATGCTAAATGAGGTATATAAAAATAAATTAAAATGTATTTTAAAATTCATCTTTGAGCTGAAATAAACAAGAAGGAATCTGTAGAGGCCAAAAGTAAAGGAAATCAGGAAACCTAGGAGGGAAGTGAGTGTGTAGGTCAAGTGGAGACATTGAGCTTCCATCTTACAGTAGTGTAGAGCATTAAGGAAGAAATTCCATGTGATCACCCTAGTAGATGTAGGAAAGTATTCAAGGAAATTTAACATCTTTTTGTAACTACAAATCTGAGCAAAGAAAGACACTTTCTTAATCTGAAAAGCAGTATCTAAAAAATTAAAAACTACAGATTTGTTATATATTTCTCATGTAATAAATGTGAAATATTGGAAAAATCTTTTAATAACAGTAAAAATACCTGCTACTTCTATTCAGCAGCATTATACAACTAATTATAATGGTAATGAAAGAAAAAGAAATAAAAGGTATAAGTATTTGAAAAGAAGAAACAAATTGATTAGTCACATTTTAT